GCTTGAGCAACTGCTTTGGAGTAATTAGCATCCCAACCCCCGAGCTTGACTACGACCTCTGCATTTGAATAACCTTGAAGACCGTCTTGTAAATGTCTTTGGGTTTCCTCTTTCACTGACTCTTCATCTGTAGCTTTTGACTGAGACAACCAAATAGTGAATCCTGCAAAAAGATGCTGCCATTTATTTGGTCTCTCAGCAGCACCATGCTTCCCACCTAATGTCGAAACAACAGCTCGGGCATGGCTACTGAGGCTTTCTAATATAGCAGTTTCTGCTTCTGCTACAGCATCACAACCCTGTAGGCCACCCACGAATCAATAATTTCCTTGCTGTATGATTCCAGAATCTCCTTTGTATTGAGTGGTGTATACCCAAGACCAACAACTAATTCTCGAGCAATCTTGTGGTTTATTTCAGTTGATTCCCCGGCTAAATAGATTGATGTTCCTCTCAAGAGTTGTGCAACTCCCGCTGTTAAGGACTCCCACGACTCCATAATGTCAGGCCATTTTAGTTCTGGGTCTTGTTTCTTCAAATTAACCACCAATTGGTCATCGTCTATATACCATATTGTTTCAAAAGGCTTTATCATCCCGTAAAGTTTATTTGTATCCAGGAGTGTCCTAAGATATCCACTGTTCTGCACCTTAATTACCAAAGAGTTCTCATTTGCATCTATAAAGATCTCCTTAGGACTTGCACCTTCTTTCCCGAGTTCCAACCTCAACTCCACCTCAGAAGAAACATCACATAATGGGTTGGGTCAGTGGAGACAAAGGGAATGCTGCTACAAAGTATGCAATTGATTTTCTTGAAATTTCCAAAAGCCAAACGAGGAATTGAGGAAAAAGGGGTCAAAATAAAAGATGGAGGAGAAAAAATACAACAGAAGAGGCCAGATTTGAAGAGAAACATCTGTAAAGGTTTACCGAATCAAAGAGAAAAGTATCAAACCTCATGTTCTGTCAAACTCATACCTGATTGAAAAAGATGGAGGAGAAAACCCTATGTTGAGAGAAATCTCTCGATGGATGAGAGATTTGTTTTGAGAAATCTTATTTGTATTTTCTACCAAAAAGTCTATGAAAGTCCCATAAATTAGAAATTCCCTGAAAGTCATTTTCAATTGAATACCCCAAAATTTGTAGAGACTTCTAAAAAGTTTCAATTGAATACCCCGAAACTTGTAGAGACTTTTTAAAAATCTATAAAAGTCTCTATTGAATACACCCAAACTTTTAAAGAGTCTCTAAAAGTTTCAATTGAATACACCGAAACTTTCTAAGTCTCCAAAAGTCTCTAAAAGTCCTGATTGGATACACCTCCATAAATCACGTCAAAAGTAACCCCCCTACTTTCCCTCCATCGGGTTATAACAGGTGGGGAGAAAAACATGTTAGGAGGTGATAAAACATACTTCTAATTACAAATACAAAGACTACCAAACCGACAGGGTTCACTGGCCTTCAAATATCATTGCAGCCATTATTTCCTTCTTCCTCCTTCCTTCATCTGCTGTTCCTTCTTCTTCCTTCCTTCTTTTGTTGCTCCTTAGTTTCTTTTGACTCCACTTCCATGGATTCTCATCTCCCTCGTATCATCACTCCCCCTTAGAACAACTTTGTCCTAAGGTTCAAATGGAAGATATTCTCTTGAGATTGCCCCTGCTGGTAGTTCGACTTGATATGCAACTTCTCCAATTCTCTAAATAACCTAATAAGGCCCGTAATACTTTGCTGCCAATTTCATATTCACCCTCTTAACTACTGAATTTTGAGCATAGGGTGGAGTTTGAGATACACCCAATCTCCCACTTGAAATGCTCTTTCACTTCTATGTTTGTCCGCATGGTGTTTCATACGAGCTCTAGCCTGTAACAAATTTTCTTTTAGGATTTGATCCATTTTGTGCCTCTCTGCCAACAAGTCTTCAACCGTCGTTACATTGATGTGCTGATAAGGCCCTAGAGCCAATTGAGGAGGTTTGATTCCATAAAGTGCCTCAAATGGTGCCATTACAATTGAATTGTGGTGAGTGGTGTTGTATCACCATTCAGCTAAGCTAATCCATTTGATCCAATGCTTAGGTTGTCAATATACCGTGCATCTAAGGTACATTTCCAAGCACTGATTTAGCCTCTCTGTTTGTCCATCCGTTTGGGGATGGTAGGCTAAGCTTAATTGTAACTTAGTACCCATCTTTTTGAATAACTCTGGCCAAAAAGCACTTGTGAATATTTTGCCTCTATCTGAGATAATACTTTGTGGCATGTCATAAAGCTTGTATATATTATCCAGGACTAATTTGGCGACAAAGGTGGTAGTGAAAGGATGTAACAATGGTAGAAAATGGCCGTGTTTGGTAAACCTATCTACCACAACCAGGATGACATTTTTGGTTCCAGAAGTAGGTAATCCCTCAATAAAGTCCACAGCAATATGGCTGCAGGCATATTGCGGTTCAAGCAATGGTTGCAATAGCCCAAGATGTGCAACATGTTCTCCTTTGCATCTTTGGCAAGTATCGCATTCTAAGACCTCCTGTTTAATCTCTTTTACCATACTAGGCCAAAAAAAGTGTTGTTTAGCTCTATGAATACTAGCTTGTATCCCTAAATGTCCACCTTCTTGGGATGAATGTATAGCCCCAATTAATTTTCTCCTTACTCCACCCGCAGATCCAATATATATTTTAGATTGGTACTTAAGTAGCCCATTGTAAGTGAAATCTATACCTGACCCTCCATTGAGGAGTAATGCAACTATCTTGCTCCTAGCCTCTTCATCCCCTTGACAGCTATTTGTGATTTCTTAAACCCAGGTTGGTGTCATAGTAGTGATTGCTAAACACTAAACATCATCAGTGTTTTCCCCGCAAGATAATGCATCAGCCACCTTGTCATCTACCCCCTTTTTATATTGGATTTCATAGCTTAGCCCAAGTAGTTTTGTTAGACATTTCCACTGCAAGGGTGTTGTTATCCTTTGTTCCAGCAAAAACTTAAGGGACTGGTGGTCTGTTTTGATGATGAAATGGTGTCCCTCTTGGTAGTGCCTCCATTTTCCAATAGTTGTCACCAATGCTCGCAGTTCCTTCTCATATATAGATAATCCGAAGTTCCTATTGTTCATTCCTTTACTCAAATAAGATATAGGCTTCTTGTTCTGTATCAGAGAAGCTCCAATTTCCCCCATGGCAGGCATCAGTCTCAATTACAAATGGAAATGGAAAAATCTGGTAGCGTTAGAACGGTGTAGTTCTCATGGCCGCCTTCAATTCTGGGAATGCCATATTAGCAGCTTCATTCCAGTGGAACTTATCTTTTTTTAATAAATGAGTCAAGGCCTGGCCATAGTTCCATAACCCCCTTACAAACTTTCTGTAATATCCATTCAAGCCTAAAAACCCCCTAAACTGTTCAATGTTAATTGGTTTAGGCCACTCGTGCAATGCAACCACCTTTGAAAGGTCTGCAGCTATTCCCTCTGCTGTAATGACGTGTCCTAGATATTCTATTCTAAGCTGTCCAAAAGAGCATTTACTTGCTTTGGCAAACAGCTGATGTTTCCTTAGCAGTTCTAATACTTCAGCTACATGTTTACAGTGGGTTGCTAAGTCTCATCGAAGAATACTAAGACACACTTCCTGAGTTTCTCTTTGAAGACTTCATTCATTAAGCACCGGAAGGTAACTGGGGCATTGGTAAGCCCAAACGGCATCACTCTGAATCCATAGAGTCGCTCGTGAGTTTTGAAAGCTATTTTTTGAATGTCTTCTTCTGCTACTCTGTTCTAATGGTACCATGCTCTGAGATCAATCTTTGTAAACCATTTTGCACCCTTCAACTCATCTAATAGTTCATCAATTCAAACATTTAACACTAATAACACAAATGAGACTCAAAGCTAACACCCAACGAGATTAATTGCACTAAAATGAAAAAGTTACAACCAGGGATGAAAGAGAAGAAAGGATAGAGATATGGAGGAAGAAGACTTCGGAAAAGGAACTAAATCATGTCAAAAAGTACTCCCCATACTTTCCCTCCATCAAGTTATAACATGTGGGGAGAGAAACAAGTTAGGAAGTGATAAAACGCACTTCTAATTACAAATACAAAGACTACCAAAACGATACCATTCATTGGCCTTCAAATATCAGTTGCAGCCGTTATTTCCTTCTTCCTCCTTCCTTCATCTGCTGTTCCTTCCTTTTTCTGTTGCTCCTTAGCTTCTTTTGACTCCACTTCCATGGACTCTCATCTCCCTTGTAACAGATTATTGGCGGCTTTTATTGTCCATTTTATCTGTTATTGATTGCGGTCGTAGTTGTGAGTTTTGGGGTGGGGTGAGGCAGTGGCGGCAGCTCACTGGTGGTGGTTTGGCTGGATTTGTGGCGTGGATTGGTTTTCCTTTCTTTTTTGTCAATTGTATTTGATTGTTATCTATTGGTAATTTTTGAAAAAATTTAGGTCACCATGGGAGCAAATTCATCATTTGACATGGCTTTAACGACGAAAATGGACGGAAGGTTGAGTTTTGCTAGAGGATGTTTGATGCTAAAATAATTTGAGGGATACGAAGGTTGAGATGAAAAGTGCAAACTTCCCAAAATTGCACAATATGAGAGATGAGACAGGAGATCCAATGCTTAGATTGAAGTAAGAATCACTTTGATTCCATCATACAGCCCAAACTTGATATATGACCTCTGCATTTCTTGCTCATGTGTGAAACAAACATTCTTTATAATGAAACAGTTATTTCCTAGTCTATTTGATGTTCAAACATCCTGATCAAGAAGAAAAAATTAAGTGGAGTTCAATTACTTAAAAAGAATCCTCTTAGTAAACCCAAAAATAACAGATGGTCCTTCAAAATGTGTATCTATCTCTCAACAGTATTTTCACAAATCCTTAGTAAATCAAGCAATTTTCTCTCTACTCAGTTCTTACAATCGTGTAACTGCACGGCAATTAAATAAATAAAAACAAGCAGCAGTAAATGTGTTATCACGAAAACTGACCACCAGATCTTTACTCGTATGAAAAAGTGTGCTAAATCCTCACACTGAGTCTTCCTATAGACAGAAATTTCCGAATTCTACCATCTGAACACATCAAAAACTAAATCTAACCAATTTTAAAGAGATCGTAATTATTTATTATACAATAGTATCCCACTGTAAATATTCCATAACCACTACTAATATCACAAAATCAATCTCTTCAAAAAAATAAAAATAAAAAATAAAATTCAAAAATCTTAACGACTTTGATTACAAATAGAAATCAAGAAATGTAGGGATAATTATTCTTACGTTAATATCATCGCCAACGGAGTTAATTTCTTTGTTGGCTTTTTTCCCCAACCAGTACGAACCCACCTTGTTCAATACCTGATCCATCTATACACAAATAAAATTTATTTATCGGTATATATACGGATGTCAGCACAATCTGCTGGGTAGAGATTGTACTTTGTTTGATGCGAAGAAAAAATTTCCTCAATCCCTAAATTCAGAGAGAGACGGGTTTTTTTTTTTTATTATTTTTTAATTCAGCAGTCTTAAGTACTGTTGTAAGTCTTCAACTTATTTTTGACTTTTTCATTGTTTTTCGTCAACGGGGAAGGAGAGAGAAAATTGCAACTTTGTTAGGTTTGATGAAAGCAACTTTTCGTATTTATATTTCGATTCAATATTAATAGACACTTAATGATCACCGAGTCTGAAGTAAATTTCAAAATAATTATTAAAATAATTTTATGAAGTTAATAGCCAATCATCACTTGATTAAAAATATTAACATTGAAAGTCATTACAGACTTTAAAAGTTTCCACGACATCACTAAATTTTGCTAAATATTTTTATGGGATTACTGAATTTTAAAAATCATCTAATTCATTACTAAACTTTAAAAAAAAAAATTCTAGGGAATTGAATGATCTCCTGGGAAACCTTTTACAAAGTTTAATAACACCGTTTAAATTTTTTGTAAAGTTTAGTGATGAATGGAGTGATTTTTAAAGTTTAATAGCTCACGTAAACCTTTTACAAAGTTCAGTGATATTTTTGATGATTTTTAAAATTCAGTTATTCGGTGAAAACTTTTTACAAAGTTCAGTGACCATTTTGGTTATTAACCCCCATTATCCACTATGCCACATTAGTCGGGTTAATTCAGCTGATCTGCTAATGATAATTGAAGTTTGAGTACATTTTAAAATTGTCGTTGAAGAAATTTTTTATAACTAGTAGTAAACACGAACGTTGCACGTCTTATGTACGAAATAAAAGATATAAATAATGTATTTAGGGTAAGATAATTGATAATATTAGAAGAAAAATTAAAACTGTTAAAAAGAATATATATGAATAAATTTTTTTTATGAAATTATTTACATAACGTGAAAATGTTGAATAAACTGAAATGTAATGCTCTATTTATTTATTTGTTTATGTTGACATTGGTTGGACTCTATTTTTAACTAAAATAGTTGGGATCGACTAGCTTTGTGGTAGACACGGACACGAAGAAGGGTCGGATTAAAAGATGTTCGTCTAATTAAGTTTAAAATGTTTACTTATAAGTAAACTAAAGGTACGTAAATGATTTTCGAAAAAGAAAATTAAACATTTTGTTTGTAATATAAACTTTTTACCGAAACAAGTATCATTTAAACACATTTAGAAACAAAAATTTACATACTAATCATGCTCGTCATGTTAATTCAAACCAGCTTTACATTCAAAACAAATATAGACGAGAAAAACCTTAAAACAAAGTTTTATTTTTCTTTTGAATGTGGTTAATACAAATGGATGAATAGAAAACTTCCCTTTAAATGTATCAAGATAAAAATCTTTTTCTTTTCTTTATATATTTATATCTATTAAGTAATTAGATTACCATCAGTTTATCTGCTTATACAAAAATGAACGTGTAATAATAATAAAACACACAATACTATATTAATATTGTTTTAGAACACCTAATATTAGTTTTTACTAACACTTAAAATTTTGGTTTTAATGGAAAATGTGTAATTGAAATGCAAATCATGTATTTATTGGTGTTGATCAATACAAATATGGGAAGAGTAAGTAATTTACAATTATTAGCAGTAATTAGTAAAGTTTTTAAGATTGATAGATAATTTCTCCTCTCTTAGACTCTTCCTCTTTTAACTGTTGATCATATTTAAGCAAATTTTTCTTTTCAATTTATTGTCCTTTGTATTTAAATAATTATATTGATTAAATGTGCAATTTATAATCTTTGAATGTTGAAGATATTATATAAGGACAAATGATAAATTGAATATTTTTTTATCTACCTCCACATTTTATTTTTGTGTGTGTGTATAAGTAGATGAATGTTAATTTTAAGTGAAACTCACGTACATAAATAATATAATAATATACATATAAACACATATGAAATAATATTATAATGTATTAATAACAATTTAATGTCACATAATCTCCTTTTTTAAGTATAGAGTTAATTTTGCACATTGGAGTACTCAAAATTTTATACTTATTCAAATTAAGCTTAGCCACTTAAAATTGAAGCCCGTCCACATATATAATTATATTAGAATTATAATAAATATTAATTTATATTGTAATTAATCTACCTTATATTAATGCTACCTTTTATGTATTATATTATATAATTTAAGTAATTATACTTAATTTGATTAATATAAAATTCTAAGCACTCCAATATAAAAAAAAAATGAACATTACACTTAAATGGATGCTAAACGAAGTTGAATTATATTAAATGGCACTATATTAAATATGTAAGGGTAAAATTGGTATTCAAAAGTTTATCTTCAATCCTTCTTTTTTAAATATTGTAAAGTGTAACGCGTTTTATATAACATAAATATACTGCAAGTACATGATGTCAAATTTTGTAATATAATAATTTAGTTTGGAGTCGAATTATAGGGATTGATATTTAATTTCTACTAAATATTATAATTGTGTAGCTCTTATTTTATCTAGATGAATGAAATTTGAAGTTAATGATTTTAATTAAGTTAACATGATGAATGTGGTGACGAATTTAACAAATAAATGCAAAATTAGAAGAATAATGAAGATGAGAAAGTCCAGGGTTATGATTTCACATAACTATCAAATATGATTCTCAATTTTCCTAGGTTGTGTCATTCTAAGATCACGCCTAAATTTCCCCCTTTCGAGTATCAAAAATAACTAGCTTCAAATTATTCAATTAGTGGACAATTAATTGAAAGAATTAAACCAATAAAAAAATAAATAGAATTAGAAAAATCTCATAGAAATAACCAAAATAAATCAAACCATATTTTCAAGTTTTGGTTACATTATACCTTAGATGAAGATTTTAGTTCATGATAGAAGAAAGAGTTCTACAAATCATGATTAATAACATAAAGATAAAGAAGAATAGAAACTCTTTTGAAACTTGAATTAATCCCCCTTCTTGATGTTCTTGATCTATTGATTGATTCCCCTTCTTACCCAGTTGAATTGTATTTGAAAGTAGCCTCTAGATTGATATTTATACCTTCTTGAAGTCTTGGAAGAGTTGGATTGAAATTGGGTTCTTAAAAGATGATTTAAACTTGAAAAATCCTAATTGTACACGGCGTAGGGCCTAGGCGCTATGAATCTTGTCAAATTGGTGCTTGGGCGCTAACTTTTGGGAAAAAATCAGCAATG